TAATTGGTGAGAGTTGTGAAAATGCCTTTTGAGTGTGGATATTTTTATCCAACTCAAATTATAAAAGAAGAAGATATCTTCAAAGGGGAGAGTCTTCTTTCATTTAGAATATCGAGTTTTGATGGCTTTAGATATCCAAAGAGAAAAGACAATACCCCCTTCAGGGATGAATTATCTCTTCATTTGGATATTCAAGCTACGAAGGATCCAAGGAGTCCAAGGAAGAGAGATCTAAGGAGTCCAAGGAGGAGAGATCTAAGGAGTCCAAGGAGGAGATATCCAATGAGTCCAAGGATGAGAGATCCAAGGAGTCCAATGAGAACAAATCCAAAAAAGACTAAAGAGTTGAAGAACTAAAGATCTAATATTCCACTCAAAATCATTTTCGTCAGTCATAGGCTTAGAAATCCAGGTTGTTGGTAGTCGTGCCTGACCACTTTAATTTATGTAGACATTGGTTTGTAATTAAAGGGAAGTTGGCCTATGGACATTTATTTAATTAGTTTGATTATGTTTGATGTATTTTATTTATGATGTGTGCCTCTAAGGTTGCATGTTTTTATTAGTTTATTGGTGATTTATATGACGTTTTTGATTTAGCCTAGATTTCATTAGGCTCTTTAAGCACTATAATATTTTTTTACTAGTAACTAATACTTAAAATTTTAAGATTTAAATAACATAGAAATTTAACAAATCTAGGAAATTGCTAGAGCCATCTGGGGTCGCATGTATATTATTGTATTTCTTCTCTCCCTTGCTTTGAGACACTCCCCCACCTGTGGGAAGAGTCTAGATAATTTGGCCTATGAGAATGAGGTGCCAGACCTGTCGGAGCCTAGTCTCATTCTAAAAATTATTTTTATATAAACTTATTTTTAAAATCTGATGCATACCTGATTTGGAAGCTTCAGCCAGCATGTATTGCATTAGTAATCAATTAAATAAAATTTTAATTATATTAGTTAGGGGCATTCACCCAACATAAGTCCAGGACCAATTAGGAAACTCTCTAGATGTCGGCCTTACTTCCATAAGCTGTACTACCCATCCATCTTTCATAAATGATCTGACAACATAATTTTAAAGCAATTAGGTGGTTAGCTGGCTCCCCAATCCAAGCCGGGGTAAGTCCAGATTTTGCACTGCATTAGTTAGGATACGGGTCTTAGTGTTATTCGTAGGACACTAAACCCAACTTAGATTTAGGATTTGAGGCTACTACACTCGGTCTCGTAGTATGCCTTAAATAGTGGGTAAGTTCCCTATTCTTTATGGATTATAAATCCTACTTATCTGTATCACATGGATGACGACACCTCCATCCTTCTCTCACGTATGTGTCGATTGCTTGATTTTCTTTTCCCTAGTTTCTCTTTAGTATTCTAGATCCTCCGAATGCTGGTGTAAACCCCGCATATGGATTGAGCCAAATCAGACCTTTCTTCCCTTTGAGTAGGACTTTCTTAGTCTATACCCTTGTGTTAATCCCATTTTGGAGAGGATAATGTATGATCCTTAATCGAGAGTCTTCTCCGGCTCCAGCCTGAGATGTAATTAACCACGGGGACTTGCATCCATGAGAAACTGAATTCCATCATCTCATAAACCCCATTTCGAGTTGATGTATCGGATGGGAGAAACTCTTGACTGTGATTAGGCCATATATATTATTATCCATCAAGGTGCGTAGGCAAGAGTCTCTATCCTCCATGGTTAATCGTATGTATGGTCCAATCTATCCTGTCTACTTGGCCCATTTACTAGGAGCATGGAGGCCTGTGATCATCTCTATCCTTCGGGGTAGGTACGGTCGTATACCCCTCTGCAATCCTGCAGCCGTAGCGGTGCTCTTTCGAAGGTCCACAATGTTAATAGAAATCAAGGTTACAATTCCTTAATGAATCTAAAGCCCTATATAATACAACATTTAAAGCAAAACCTATGAGCCTTAAGTTCAATCTAAATACAAGATCAAGCAAAAAAAAAAAAGATAAGAAATAAAATATACAACCACAAGGGGAGCCAACAATCCACCTAAGAGAGGCCAAATGGAAATAATCAGTGCCAACACCAGTAGAGAACCAGCAAGACAACACCCTACAAGAAAGAAACAACAAACAAAAGAAAAAAAATGATCCACAACCTTCCTTAACCCAAACAACTAAGACGAGAAAACCCACAACCCACACCCCAACCAAGAAAATAAAATAACCAAACTAAACCAACAAGGACCAAGAAGAACTTTTTCTTCTTTGATTTTTGCTTACGATGCTTACCACCCCTAAGAGTAGAAGCCTTGTAAACTATGCTAGTCACATTCAAATTATACCTTTCTTGAAACTCCTCTTCAGACCCAACAAAATCCTCCCCATCACCTCCATAAGGGGAAGAAACAAACTCATCTAGCTAATCACATTGGGCCTCACAAGAATCCTTCTTTTTTAATGTCAGTTGAGCTTTCAAAACATCATTAAATATAAGAGAGATAGGAATATCAATCAAAGGCAATCCTTCATTCACAACCAAAATATTAGGGGACATAACCAGTCTGAAAGAAGCCACTCCACTAGAGACAACGACCACTCCACAAGAGGAGTCATTCAAGATAGTATGAGACAAATCATTATGAAGATCAAACATAACCTTCTTAACAATGATAGGAGAAGCCACAGGAGATAGATCTAAGCCTACATCAACAACCTTGTTAACATCATACAAACCCAAATCTACCACATGCATATTCTCATGGCAAGTTCCAGGATCAATACCTTCATGACCTAACTCAAAACCAATAGAATAAACAATAAATTTCACACCATCAGCAGCTTAAAGGAACATTATTATTAGCCCCCATAATTATATCCTCACTAGCCTTTTGGAATGGCGAAACACAACAATTTTCAGCATTAATGACATAAGGAGCATAAGAAGAAATTTTAACCAAATTAGAAGAAATAGTGCCAATATTCTCAACAATTGGAACAACCACTACGGGATCCACTGGGTCTGGTTAAACTGATAACCCAACATTACTAAATTTGTAAATCATATTTTCCATATGGTCCTTACCAACATTATCAACATCGTTGTGCAAAGCCAAATCCATATAACCATTGATATGTCCAGTATTAGGCTCAACCCTAGAAGGTAAAACACCCATATTACCCGAGAGAGAATTAATAGAGAGAAGATTAGAAGGATTGGTGTTTAATATGCAATAATCCATTTTAGAGTGGCGAGTGATTTACAGTGAGAACAATATGAAGGAAATTCTTTCATAACCACTATCTGAACATAACCCATATTTTTGGGGCCAACCCACACCAGCTCAGGATAGTGTTTGGTGACATCTAACTAAAACCAAAACATGAGCTATCAACGACCGAGAGCCACATTAACCAAATCAAAATGATGGGGGATTCCACTTCAATATCAAACGTAGGAGACCATTGAAACACTTTCATAAAGCAATTGTTTACAAAATAAGAATGGTGAGAAAACACCATACAATAGTCCAAATCATTAACAATTTTAACCAACACATGTTTCAGATTAAGGATGGTAATCAAAACGTCACCATTAAGCTTTCAATTAAAGAAGAATTTTTGTATAGCTTCGAGAGAAGATGAGTCACCAGCTAAAACATCACGAAAGGAACGGGAAGAACCTTTCGATTCAAAAAACATGATCCACAAGGCAGCTAACCACCATATAAAAACCTCGACAGAATAAGTCGGAAACAATCGACAAAACAAATGGAAAAATGGAAAGCCATAGCAAAATGGTAAGGCAATTCCATGAGGCACAAGCGCGAGAGAACGACGAGAATGGCAGGGGCGATGTCCGAAAACCAGAAGGAATCGATAAGAGGCGAACGACTAGGGCGAAAAACCTAATAGAGCGTGAGGGTGCATCTCGACTTTTTTAAGTGATGGTGAAAATTTGATTTTTTTCACTTTTTCAACAACATTTAGATATGTTTATTTGTTTTGTTTTTATGTTTAATTTTATTATATTAATTACATTCAATTTTATTATTTTGTATATATTCCATCAAGGCTACTTATATAAGTTTATTATTTCTTTTTATAAATTAATAAATGCATGTCTTAGTATTTAACTATTTATTATGATTAAATAGTTGGAAATTTGACATTGGAGAAAATATAAATTTGGATTTTCTCCTCTATTGGGTATTGAGTTTTAGATTCCCTTTTCTTTAGTCTTGTGTGATAGGAGAAATTCTCTTCACTAAATATTTTTAAATTTTTAGGGTAAAGATAATGAATAATTCAAAAATAATTTGTTTAATAATTATAATTACATTAAAACTAAATTTATTTGTGATTTGATTGGAGCAAACAATTCAAGATGAAGTTTTGTTATGGATTTTGATATTTGTATGCAAACTTAAGTGATGAATCATTAAATTCTAAATGTAATAAAAAAATATAATGAAAAATGTGTAATATAGCCTTTTAGATTTAGATGAGAATTTGAATTTTAACAGAACACAATGGAGAAAAAGAATTCGTGTAGCCGATCCCACAGTGGGATAAAGACTTGTTGTTATTGTTGTTGCTGATATTGTATAGCCTTTTCTGTTCTTAGGTTTAATAGAGCCTTTCTTTGCTGACAAATTTTTTAAAATATTTCATTTTCTCTAAATCCTATAGTGATGCTCATGCAAATTTCTAACAACTTTTAAATACATAAAACTATACTAACATACTAACAGAATATAAGGCTCACTTTCTCCACGAGAAATCCTATGCAAATGTGAGTTGTGATGAAGCTCAAAATCCCCTCTATTTAATATTTATAGCCTGAATTACTCACCTTAATATTATCATAAAAAAGTGATCTCATTTTAGTAGTGACACGTCTACTAAGAGGAGAGTGAGACTCTGAGACATTTTGGGAGTCTTCTAGGGTTTCTGCTGATTTTTGCTGCCGTCAGGCTTCCTCCGCCCGGGAGAGGTTAATCCCTCTCCTAGATGGAGATCAGCGATTTCCCTCCGCTTCAGAATCCTTCGATTTTGGGGCCGATCCCTGCTTCTTCGAATGTCTCTTTCGCTAAAAACCTGGCAAACCCTTCTGCGACTCAAGATGATTTTCCGGTTTCCTTCGTTCGTCCAAGTCAGAAACTCGCCTTTAAAGAAGATGATCTAACCGAGGGTCTTTCAGTATGGTCATTCTCTTTAGTCGGATATTCTCTAGGGCCTAGGCCTTATTATGAGCGACTTCTCGCAGCTATGAAAAAGGTTTGGATCTTAAAAGGTTCGTTTTCCTTACTATCTATGGCTGATGATTTTTTCTTGATAAAAATTTCTAATCAAGAAGATTTTGATCTGGTTTGGTCCAGGGGACCGGGGTTTTTGTTGGGGAAACCTTTCATTCTTCAAAAATGGTCCCCCAAATTCCAACCGAAGAGGGATGAACTTTCTGCTATTCCCCTCTGGATCAAAATTGTTGATCTTCCTCTGGCTCTTTGGACTCCGAAAGGAATTTCAACTATTGCAAGTTATATTGGTATTCCATTATCTGTTGACTCTCTTACAGCCAAAAGAGCTCGTTTAATTTTTGCTAGGGTTTGTGTTTCCATCTCTAAAGATTCGATATTACCTGATGAAATTCCGATTAATATCGAAGGATAAGATATCTAGCTTAAAGTCATTTACGACTGGAAGCCTAGTCGTTGGATCCTTGGTTCATTCTTACTCTTCCTGCAAAACCAATCCTAATCCCATGCCTACTGTTGTTCCTCCCCCAAAACCCCGGACCAGGGGAAGAAGTGTTAGCCAGAACCCTAGACCTCAAAATCTAGATCCGGCGAAGCCCCCTTCTCCTAAGAAGATAAATTTGGAAGGTAATAACTCGGCCGTTATTCCCTTTCCAAATTTAACTCACCCAGTGGAAAAGGAATTTTCTTCTCTTATTCGTAATAATTGCACACCCAACGATGCAATTATTCCTAATCTTAACTTTCCTATTGAGAAAGTTTCCTCCTCAGGTCAACCTTCTCTTCCTATTGTTATCCCCGCACCTAAAGTTATGCTTTCTAATAAGTTCGCTGCTCTTCAATCAGAAGACCCCCCGAATAAAGAGATGGAAGGTAACGACTCTGAAGCAAATTTGTATAATAATATTATATTAGAGGAGGTTCCTCATTCTCCCAACTCTTCAGGGATCAAAAACCAAAAGTCTCCTGTCTCTGTGCAAACCAGAGCCAAAGCTGCCAGGAAGGCAAAAAATTCCAAGAATTAATGTTTTTTACTAATATTTCTAGTTGGAATGTTAGGGGTTTCAATAACCCTAACAAGGTGAAAGCTTGTAGAGAGCTTGTTATTACTTTTAATCTTAGCATGTAATGTATTTTAGAAGCTAAAGTCAATAATGAGGCCCTTGCTGATCCTTGGTTTGTTAATTCTCACACGATTTTTAACAATGAGGGTAGTAGTAATAATTTCTGTCATTCCAATACTGGTAGGATTTGGATTAAGTGGAACCCGCAGCTTATTTATTTTTCTCCCCTTTTTATTTCTTCTCAAATTATTCATGGCACTATTGTTGTGGGGTCGCAATCCCCTATTTTACTTTCTGTTATTTATGCTGTTAATAATGTCTCTAAAAGAAATATTTTATGGGAGCAGTTGAGGAGTTTGGTGCCTGGTCCCTCCATGGCTTGGGTTATCATGGGGGATTTTAACTGTTATAGATCTGAAGAGGAAAAATTTGGTGGTAACCAGTCTCCTAGTAGCCAGATGGGTGAGCTTAACAAAATTATTTTTGATTGTGGTATGGTTGACTTAGCCTCTGTAGGTCTTTTTTACACTTGGTACAATCAAAGGCTCGATTCCTCCATTCATATTAAGTTAGACATAATTCTTACTAGTAATGCGATGTTGGATAGATTTCCATCTGCTTTCTATAAAGTTTTGCCAACGCATTATTCAGATCACTCTCCGTTAATTTTATTTACTTCCAATTGGGAAAAGAAACCTTCTAGATTCCTATTTAAGAATTTCTAGATTAATATGAATGGGTTTTATGAGGAGGTTTTAAATGCTTTTGATAGACATTTTAACTGTAGTCCAATTGCTGCTTTCTATAGGTCTTTGCAGATTCTGAAGAAATCTTTGAAAGATAAGAATTGGTCTTCTTCTTGCTACATCTTAAATTCTATGCAGGATTTAAAAGTTAAGCAGCAATGTTATATTTCTGATTTACAACTTGATCCGATGAATAGCAATTTAAATCTTCTTTATAAACAAGCTTGTGACAATTTAAACATTTTAAGCAAAGCTTGGTCTTCCTGGCTTTTCCAAAGAGCCAAAACCAAATGGCTTAGGAATAGTGAAAATGACCTTGGTTTCTTATACGCTCAGATTAGAATTAGGAATAACATTAATGCTATTAAAGAGATCTCCACTTCTAACAATAATTTTTATAAGCAAGTAGAAATTGCTGAGGAGGTTATTAAGCATTTTAAAGAGATTTTTAACTCTCCTAAGCCGCTTAAGGAGAACAATTTCAATTTTCCTGCTGGTAACAGGATTCCTGCTAATATGATTAGCTCCTTAATTGTTCCTTTTTTAGAATCTGATATTAAAAAAGTGGTTTTCGATGGTTCCTCTTGCTCTGCCCCGTCCGGATGGTTTTACGTTTGAATTTTATAAGAAGACCTGGCATATCATTGGGCATTATTTTTGTAAGGCTATTAATTGTTTTTTCTCTACTAGCCATCTCCCTAAAGGGGTGAAAGCTTCTGCTATTACTCTCATTCCTAAAAAACCACATGCTTATAATATTAATGATTTCAGGCTGATTTCCTTATGTAATGTTTTTTATAAAATCATTGTGAAACTCCTGGCTAATAAGATGATTACTATTCTTCCTTTCATTATTCACGAGAGTCAAGCTGGCTTCATCCAAAATAGAAGTACTTCTGATAATGTTTTGCTGTCTTCAGAAGTGCTTAGAGAATTTAATTTTGCTAGTAATCTTTTTGTGCCAAACTGGATATTAGCAAGGCTTTTGATACTGTTTCTCGTAGCTTTTTGTTAAATAGAATGAGGCAAAAGGGATTTCCTGAGATTTTTATCAATTGGGTTAAAGGCTGTATTACTAACGTGCATTTTTCTATTTGCTTGAATGGTTATTTGGAGGGGTTTTTAACACTTCTTCTGGGCTTTGATAAGGGTGCCCGTTATCTCCCCTTCTCTTCTGCTTAGTGATGGATGCCTTATCTTGTAGTCTTTCTTCGGATTACTTGGGGTATAATTCGGATGGTTTTAAATTTAAAGGTAACACTTTTAACCATCTTATGTATGCAGATGATTTACTTATTTTTGGAGCTGCTAGACCTCATAATGCCACAGGTTTGAATAAAATCCTTTCTGATTTTGCTGAAGCATCTGATCTTAGAATTAACTCTTCTAAAAGTTCTATTATTTTCTCTCATCATGCTATTGATGCTGATCAATTTTGTAGTATTATCGGTATCACTCAAAGGAACCACTTCCTTACTTACCTAGGGATCCCTATATCTCCTGAAAAACTTAATGCTTCTCATTTTCAGCAGCTTTTAGGTAAAATTACTACTCCGCTTGACGGGTGGAAGGTTAGACTCCTCACTTTAGCTGGTAGAGTCCAATTTTTGAAATTTACTATCTCAAATACTCTTGCCTATTGGATTAAAGGATCCATCATACTAAAGGCCATATGTAAGTCTATCTCCAAGCTGTGCTCTAATTTCCTTTATCATGGTAATATTAATGGTAAGAAAGTTCATTTGATTGCTTGGGATAATACTGTTATTCCTAAGCATAAGGGCGGTTTAGGCATTGCCTCTATTGATTCCCTTTATTACAGTTTTTACTGCTCTTTTATCTGGAGAATGCTGACTCAGGATTCTTTAATCTATTCATGGTTTAAGAATAAATACATATCCCCCTAGAAACCTCCATATGCTAGAGCTACTAAATTCTGGAAAAACATTTGTGCCACTGCGCATAAAATCAAGGAGCATTTAACTTTCCATATCAACCCTTCTTCTAATTTCTCTTTATATTGGGATCCTTGGATTAGTGGTAAAGCTTTGTCTGAATGCTTTCCTGTGGCTAAGCAATTTTATGGGTTAACTATTCAAGATTGTATCAGGAACAAGTCCTGGTTTCTTCCGGACTCAATTCCTGAAAATGTGGGTCATAAAATTTATGCTATTGAGATTATAGAGCAACCGGCGTTGGCTTGGGATGGCTCCTTTAATCCTAAGTTTAAGAATTTTATGGAATCCTACTATGCTCATCTGGAGGAAGTTAACTGGCATAAATATGTGTGGCACAAGCTTTATTCTCTTAGGTACTCAATTTTCACCTGGATGGCTATTTTGCATAAACTTAAAGTGGCTGACTTGCTGATTAAGAGATCAATACAGTTTAATCCAAATTGTTTCCTTTGTCACAAAGCACCGGAAGATCACAATTATCTGTTCTTTTGTTGCGATTTTACATTTTATGTGATTATTAATCTTATTCCGGATTTAAATTTTTTCTTACTTAGACCAAATCTGTTACAGATTTTTGATTGTTTGGATAATTCGTTGCCCCTGACCAAGAGGGAGAAGATTTTCTGCTACCTTATAGTTTGCTACACTATTTACCAAATCTGGAGGGAAAAGAATAATCGTCAATTCGCCAACAAAAGGAATTCACCTGACATCGTTATTAGCATTATTAGGAATGCTATCAGAATAAAAGCCAGGAGCTGGAAGCATTTTAATCAGTTGAAAGAGAAATTTCAGTTTGATTGATTTGGTTTCTATGCGTTCTAGGAGTCTTGTTAGGTTTGGATGGGAACCTGCATTTGTAGGTTTTGATTTATTTGCTTGTTCTTGTTGTTTATGTGGTGGTATGTGATGTCCTGGTTCTATGTTTTCCTTTGTCTTTTCTAGTTTGTTTGTTTTTCAGTTTACTGTTCCTGTGTTTAAGTTTGTCTTTGTACTTGAATTTTCTTAATAAAATGGGTGTTGCCCCGATTTACCCCAATATATATA